GAGAGCGCAATATCTGTGTGTGCAGCTATACAAACTTTCTAACATTCAAAGATGTGCTACTGTTCAGCTTTGTTCTGTTGCTTCCTCTTCCTACTGATCCTATGCAGCAGCACACTCATAAGAAGCCTAAAAAGAAACCTAAGCCCCGGAAAAATTACAAATACTACACTTTCCTTTCAATTCTCCTGCATGTTGTGACTTCCAGATGTGAAACTCAGAGACGTGGATTTCTTGAGGTTTAGTAAAGGAGAATGTGCTGCCTCCTGCTTTGAGTAGGATGCTAGTGTCCTGGTTACAAATCAATCCCAGCAAAGAAACTTGAACTTGTTTATTCAGACAAAGACTAATGATGAAATCTGTCTGACATTAGTAATAACCCACAAGTAGAAGTAGCAACTGGCACTTGGCAGTGAACCTACTGACATTACATCCCTTGATCAGTAGAGGGAAGGCAGTGACAGGCAGACAACTTCATTCCCACACATCAGCTGAGCCTGGCAGTCTGAGTGTGATCCTGCCTCAGTTCCTCTACTTCTTCTAACTGGAATAAATTCCAGTCATTCCCTGTTCATTGGGCCTGTGACTGTGGACAACAGCCGCCCCTGTGCAAGGCTGACCACACACTGCTTAACACCACTGTGACAACAGAACAGAGTTCAAATCCAAGAGTTTGAACAAATCTGGGCTCCAAACTGAGTGAAGAGTCTCCCCTCAACCCTGCTCATTTAAATGACTCTCTTAACTATTGTCTGTTGTCATGGTATCCATATCAACAGAAAATCCTAGTCAAGCTGTGCAATGTAGAAATTCCTGCAGGCCCATAATTGCTTGTTTGGTATTCAGCATACTGAATTATACTCTAGACCAAGACCATAATGTGGGGTAAAGATGCATCCTCTTCATTTTGACACCCCTCTTATTGAGTAAGAGCATCTTGGACCTTGCCTAAGACTATCTAGTCTATACCAGTGGTTCCCAACTTGGGTGTCGCGAGGCCTTCTTGATTTTAAGGAGTGTAAGAAAACATAAAAAATACATTCAGTTGGCCTATATCTCAGCATCTGGTTCACTTCTGTGAAGAAAAGTAAATATTAAGTACATTGTCTAATAGAACAATGAGTGAATGAATTAACCTGTCAAAAATGAAGCATTTTAAGTCAATAGGATTGTTAAAAATGATTAAAGATACATTATACAGACAGAATTGTATAAAAAGATCCTCAAACAGGAAATAATCTTTGGAAAAAAGGTTGGAAAACACTGATCTATACCAAGGAGGTGACTCATTAATACAAAACTAAGCAGTCTGCTGAAAGGAATGGGGATAGAGTATCGCTATTTAGAGCACTGACATTTTTTGTTAGATTTAAGAGTACGGTTTAACAGCTTGCCAAACAAGGGAAATGTGTACTTCTACAGTCCACCCAAGTGAACATTTATGAATGGGAAACCAAAGACGGGGGTGAAGTGCTCGATTGCTCAACGCTGCTGTGGTGAAATCGACGGTTTGTCCTATGGCATGTGACCTACACATGACTGAGAGGCTGCTTCAGCATTACTAAACCATATGACTGAAAACTGAGTCATGCTCCACACTAGGTAAAACCAATTTGTGGACGTAAACAACGGATGGCTGCTACAGTATGTTTGCTAAGAGCAGCGAGGAAACAGCCAGTCAAACACAGTGAGGCATCAACAGCAGCAGAGCAGACATATCGTCTGTCTAACCGTTGTTGTCCAGTCACATTCATTAGTATTCACTAAGGGAGGTCGTTTTCTTCATTCAGTTGGCTAATTCAAGCGGATGTTGCTGACATTAGTGTATTTTAGCTCAATAAAAACAACTGTTGAAGACACTCGCAGTCAAAATCCAACAATGCACCTTTGTCCTGTATTTACATCAGCATGAACCGCAGCGGACCGAACCCAGTCACTGCCGCTGGCCCAACAGCTGGCTACCAGCGTGAACACAGGACATCAGGAACACTGTGTTGTTTGTGAGAAATATCCATCGACTGATGAGTGTTTAACACCAGCACTCCACAGACATCCCTGGAAAACGTCCACAATACACCAGGCAGGCACAGGTGGACACTGAGGCTAACGTCAGCTGATGTTAGCCGCTAACTTTGCTCAACTGCTAATAGTAAGTTGTTTGCCAGCGCTAACTTCCTTTCTAGCAAAATGCTAACCATAGCTAGCTGGTAAAGAAAATATAACGTATGATACTTACTATTCTGGATTCATTGTTGACTCGTTGTGCGGTGTGTCCCCTGCTGTGAAATGGATCTCTGTCCCTGTCTGATAAGCAGCACTGCTGTTGTGAAAAGGGGAGCGGTGGCTAGCTTACACTACTCCCAAAACCACGACCGGCTACTTGTTTGTCGGTAAAAATCCAAAATGGCTGCAACTCCAACCAGGAAACAGCTAACATTAGCCAGCTGGTTAGCCAAGAGAGGAATAACACAAAATACGTGGCTGGATTTTACAGATGCCTTGTCTTTAAAACCAGTCTGATAACTCGTTTTACAAGCGTAATAAGCCTGAAGCGAATAAACAGGGGGTGTCAGTAAACGTCTAGCTAACCAGCCTCTTTCTCTCTTTCTCTCCTTCTCGCTGAGTGTGTGTCGTTACCGCAACAGCCAACTATCAAGCCCCGGGAGAGATTACGTCATTTAGTGAAACGTGGCAAAGAGGAGTCAGCTCGTACCCCGTGTCAAATACGCACTATTCACAACTTCCGGGCATATAACGTTACCTCAAAATAAACCTCCGCGACGTGTATTTTGTACTAATAATATGAAAGCCAATTTCCGCCAATGTGATGAGAAAAAAAGGATTCTGTAAGTCATTATAATGAGAAACTTTCTCAAAATACTGACTTAGCATCTCAAGAAACTGAGAAACCTTCTCATTATTTGTCATTATAATGACTTACAGAATCCTTTTATCCCCCGTCACATTGGCCGAAATGGGCTTCCATATGTGGTTTCTTCTCTACAGCGAGGCTTTTATTTACAAATATCATCATTATTTCCGGCCACAGCCTTACATCTGACCGGCTTGACACATCAGCTTTCAGCAGGTTACTTTACCATCCCGTTCTACTGTACACTTTGGTCGAAAGGTCACCCATTCATCCAGAAACTGCTCTCTTGAGTTCACGTGCGTGTCATGAGTCATAGTTGTGTCATCACTGGTGGTAGGAAGTAGGTTCATGTCAGCACCTGTACACAGGTAGGCTGCAATTAACATGAGTCAACTGATAAAGAGTTGGATCTTTGGCCTTAGTAGAGTAACAGTTCAAAAAATTGAGTCTTCCTTCTGTTTACAGTAAACATTTATTTTTCAACCCAAAAATACAATACAATACACAATAAAGTTTTATGGAGAAAAACCTTTTGGTCTTGTCTATCATTTCAACTGATTCTCTTCCAATCCATCTGTGTATCATTCATTTTGAATCACTATAGTTTGTATAAGTACATTTCTTCCTTGAAACTGAAAAAGTTTGCATGTGACTTTTTGTATTACATTTTAATTTTGTTAAAACATGTACATTTTCAGTGTGATAATTTTTTGACAATGTAGTTGGTAGCTTTGCTGTTGTTCAACTTTTTCCAGTGTAAAGTAATTGGTAGCTTGCAGAGCTATGCTTTCAAAGTAGCTTCTCTCCTCGCTCTTATCTTTCTTTCTTTTCTTTTGCTCTTTTGTATTTCCTCCCCGTATTTACTTGTCTGCCTTTTTTTCTGTCTTCTTGTTCTTTTCCTCTTTTATCTTCCGCTAATACACCACTTGCCCTTGTTGCTTCCTTAGTACTTACACACACCTACAACCACACACACACACACACACTGGAATCCTTTACAATTAGCTGCACTGTACCCATATCATTTATTTTAAACCTAACCCTTGTTTATTTTTTATTTATTGTTTTGTCCTTTTTTGTGTGTTTGGTTTCTGTTTTTTGGCCACACAGCGTGTAAGGTCTGTCTTGTCTTCTTTCACCTATCTAATCTCATAACTCATTAAAACAACAACAAACTAGTTTCCCCAACAGTAGGTTGTTTCTCTATGGGAGGTTTGTATGGGAACCTCCAGCTTCTTCTGGCAGATGCCACCTCAACTCCAGAACCTCAGCCAGAGGCCCTTCTTTCAGATCCTTCACAGTCGTAAAGGGCTCTCTTTGACACCTGAGACAAGTCTGGTAGCTCTGGTGTATGAATTGATAGAAGAGCCCAGTTTTCTTCCACCTGCTCCTCCACTGAGGCACAGATGGACAGTAATGGAAAGTCAGGCTGATCATCCACGGACTCTGCCCCCAACATTTCTCTATAAACAGCAAAGTGCACCAATCACCTCAGCATCCTGCACTGTATGACTGGGTTCTTCCCTTACATCCCCATACATTACTGTACAGTTGAGAACTGTCTCTCCTAACATTTTAAAAACAATGCTCCATGGATGGGCAAAGGACAGATTGGTAAAAAAGGACTTGTCTTAGGTCCATACTATTCGTCCATATGTGAACAGTTGACAGACCATGGAGGGAGTCAGATTATTAACAACCAGAATCCTCTCCCAGTAGCACAACTGTGACTGGACCCAAGTCCATCTACACAATGGAGCACTAAGACCTTCACAGTTTTTACTCTGGCAGTCACTGTTTCCCCACAAAGACACACTTCATCCCCTCTCCGCTCCACTGTAGTCTGTCCCAGTGCAAAGCCCTCACACTTGGACCAGTTACCCTTTGCAGAGGACACCTGTTTGTATAATGCCAGCTTCTCTTTGAGTGTCATCTAAAATACCATTTGTCCTATGGTAAAAACTGTTAGAACCTGTCTGAGAGAGACTGTCAGAGACAGGCCAGCTGAGTCCACCCAAAACCTTTCACAAAACAGAAGCTCCTGAGAAAAACAACTTAGTCCATAAAAAACAAATAACCACAATCAAATCTCAAAAGATTTCTCTTGATCAATGGATAACAGTCCAACATCAAGTCCCAAATCAAAAACAAAATATGAAACCGTCATTGCGTTCAGGAACACAATAAGTCTGGCTTTTTGGGGCAACAGTGTCAGTAGAGGCCTTTTGCAACTCAAGAGTTCCAGAGTTTAATTAGTCTTTGAATATTTCAAACAAGTCCTTTCTCAGCAGAGTCCAGAAACCCTTCTAGCACTCTGAGAGAAGTCCATCGACTTAAGCAAACTGCCCACAGCTTAGCACCTGGACTTCTGCAGATCAAAATCTATAGTATACAGAATGGTATAAAAGGTATATCTATTTTATTATATTACTACATAAAAGAAAGATGCAGCTGTGTTACAGTACTATGTTACATATTTTTATTGTCTCTTAACCCAACAGATTTAGTTTCTGGATAAAGCTAATAAGCAGATTTTGAGTTAAGATTAGTGTTTGTCAGGGTGCCTGGATAGCTCAGTAAACTGACAGAATATGTCAAAATCTATTTCACTTCATCATTTTACTTTCACGTCATCATTTGACCACGACACATCTGAATAATAAATGGAGGTTATCTGCATCATAATCAGTAATATCAAAAATGATTTCTTTTATCACCAGTGGTGAAGAAAATTGAAAAGAAGCTTTAAAAAACATTAAAAACTATAAACTTACATTTTAATCTACACATTGTAGTCATTTGCATTCAGATGATTCTAAGACACTAATACTCCATATGATGTATAAATAACCTACTGCTGAATGTAGTCAGAATGATTATTCAAGATGCAGACTAAATATAGTTAATAAAATCTTTCTGATTGCCAGTTCCCAGCCTTTGCATCTGTACCTTGAGCTTTTTTCCCCACAGGGAGGCACTATAGACAAATAAGGCAATTATGCCTGGATCATTAACAGTTTGCAAACAGTGCTGTCTGTATGTTTTATGGTTTTATGTAACTTCAATCCATGTTTTGATGTTTTAGTACACTCAACACCACCACCAAAAGCAAATGTTCAAATTCACCAGCTACTCAATAGTAAATCATTATCTTGTGTCTGAAATCTACCAGCCACTGCAATATTTTACCAGCATTTGGCTGGTGCTAATTT